GAATTCCTTGCGCGTTAGCCATCGATGTGATGAGGCTGCGACTTTCCTACGTTAGTCGTCGCTGGGGCAAGCTCGTAAATTCTGCTTCAAACCATACGAATCAACAGAAAAAAAAATGAAAATGAATACTACTACAAAAAAGCTTGATCAGTTCGTTACGCCCCACAAAGAAATTCTGGAACTTACACATCGGTAGCAAAGAAGTATGCACATTCTGTGAGCTTCTTATTATCTGAAAACAGTGGAATGTTTTAGGTCGTTGATTGATGGGAAAGCATAGAACAAGGTTGTAATTTCCTTACTAGGGGCGATCTCGTGCATAGCAGAGAGAACGAAGGGATGAGGCATCTCCACCTTCAGATCAAATGCTAAACATAACTCTAAGTGCCTTACTTTTTCACATTTTCGTCGCAAATAATATACGTAGAGGGCCCGATAACGTAATATTGACAATTATACACACAAGCTAAGAGCACTCACCTATCGTTTGAAGAATAATGTTCTCCAACTGCACAATAAGTTGCGCTGCCTCGATGTAATGCTGTAATTCTCTCGTGAGGGAAAGGAAGATATCAGTTCACGTTACTAATATATAACTGTTGAGCTTATCCACTATACACCATAAAGCTTACAGTTTCATCAGATTTCCCCTTGAACGTGTTTGAATGAAACGACTGTGTTTAAAGTACAATACTTGCTTTTTTAAGTATGGGACGTTTTAACGAATTGGTGGGTAGAACAACATTGTACCGGTGACATTTTGCGCATTCACCCTGTGTATGCGCCTACAAGACAAATGAAAAGAAGAAGTGGATCCTGATTTTTAAAATCAACAAATATACTAATGAAAGCAAAGTTAGAGTAAAACTTGAGTAAAATAAGGCGGGAGATCTAATAAGCATCAGGAAACGTTTCCAAAAACGTGGGCAATCCCTGGGGCCGCCAGGGCACGCCATCGCGTTGTGATCATTTTCTGAAAATTACGACCCCCCCCCCTCCCAGCCCTCTGTCCTTCCTCATCGAACCGAGCCGTCGAGCGGGAGGGGGCGGGCTCAGATATTATAACTTATCATTCAAGTGTCGGAAACTAGTGCGTCCGTGAACTGACGACTAATACGGACTCCCGATCCCCCCCCCTTGTGATGATCACAACGATGGCGTACCCTGGCGGCCACTGCTTTCGAACCGAGCGTTCTCGAGCTCAACGGAAGTGACATTCGCAGCCAGAACACTCCCCACGGATGGAGACGGTAAAGAGGTAAAGAGGATCGTAATTTGCCGCACCGCCACGCGCGGCGATGGACGCGGCGTTTTCATAACTCGTTTTAACCTGTCGAATGGAGCACCGGACTTCATGTAGACCCCGTCAGTCCGTCATCGTAGACAGTCATTACTGTTTTCGGTCCTTAATTGCATGTTTTTGCCATCTACTACCTGGAACCATCGTCCTTTGCAGACGAGACGTCGCACGCGACGCCCAGCAGCGCGGCGAATTACGATCCTCTTGTCACATACCCCCCCCCCACGGAGGCAAGAGTTCAACGAGACTTGTGATGGCTTGACTTGGCGCCAGCGCCTATCCGGAATGAGACAGGCTAACGACGTTTTTTGGTCAAACGAATGTGATATTCGTATTCGGAGGGTCAGTGAATTCTATCTCATCATCACCACTCAACATACATATTGTAGTCTCTCTTGTTTCCAGATGGAAAATAAACATTTCAAAAAAAATTAATTAGACAACTTCATAAGAAATCTGTTGTATTCACGATATTACCTCATGTCCCACTTGAAAAAAAATACTGACTCTTCAAACCAATTAACAATAAGTCGTTAATATGTAGTATTTTAAAAGAAACTTACGTTATTTGAAGGAATCGTAGGATGTCGTTCAAACTTTTTTGACCACCAAACGCGCACAATGTGATCCAACTTTCTCGGACATTCCTCACTCTTACCAGCCAAAAACAAGCATGCAGCCGCCACGTCCTGTATATGTAGCCAACAGTTACTGTCATGTGCAAGGTAACGCCACAAGAGCTAATCCTATATTGCTATCAAGAAGGATACCAACCCTGTAGTCGAAGAACTTGAAGGAGTGAAAGCAAAAGAACCGATGCATATGCATGATTGCTGCACACATACATAATTGAGAACTAAAAAAGAATCATTTTCACTGGTGCAAATTGCCAGTTGCCTCAACAACAACAACTACAAAGTATGTGGAATGGAAATTCACTTCGATTTACCACTGCTTGTCGCTTCCAAACACTTTTTTAAAACAGTATGACGTTTCAAAGGTGAAAAGCTTCGGCTTGTACTGACCCAGCTCATGGAACAGCATTGAGCACTAGTTTGAAGACACATGGTACGCTCAAACACATTGAGGGTGTATGAGACTATCAGCCCCCCAGCTGTCGATGTGTCGTGGTCCCCCGCCCAAAACTGCACGGGGTCAGAGTACGGACCGTGGGAAAGTCGTAATTCCTTGCTACGCCGCCCGTTTTTGCAAACTCACGTTTTTACTAACACCGTCCGCGCGCAGCTCTCTTGGCTTTTTGCCAAGTCCTGTAATTGCGCTTTGGAATACAAGTACAACGCAATTTCTTTATGCGGATAACATTTTAGGTTCTGCAAAATAAGAACTGAAGATGATGACGAGGGCTAGAACTCAAGAGCAACTGTGCTGCTTCTGCAACAGCCCTCGCAGGCCGCGCATTCCCACAAAACATCAAAATAAAAACGGCCTAAGCGTCCCACTCGTTAGTTTGAAGTATTTCTATAGCATTAGAGCCGGATTCCGAGCCGACGCATCGCATAAAAAATTGCCACGCTGACTTTTAATTTATTGTGGATTTCTTTTAGTTTATGTTTTTTCAATTTTGTTTTATTTACATCTACATTCGTTGTTGTTCATTTCTAGCCTTTGTCATCTTCATCACCTTCTATTCGGACTTTGAAGCATGAGCAATACCTCAAATGTTAGGAATTGCGTTTTGCTTGTGTTGTTATGTTCGTTCCGTTTTTATTGTCATCTGTGTGGGAATGCGCGGCCTCTGAGGGATATTGCAGAAGCAGCACAGTTGCTCTTGAGTTCTAGCCCTCGTCATCATCTTCAGTTCTTATTTTGCAGAACCTAAAATGTTATCCGCATAAAGAAATTGCGTTGTACTTGTATTCCAAAGCGCAATTACAGGACTTGGCAAAAAGCCAGAGCTGCACGCGACCGCGCCGCGCGGATGGTGTTAGCATAAACGTGAGGGCGGTGTAGCAAGGAATTACGACTTTCCCACGGCCCCGTACTCTGACCCCGTGCAGTTTTGGGCGGGGGACCACGACACATCGACAGCTGGGGGGCTGATAGTCTCATACACCCTCAATGTGTTTGAGCGTACCATGTGTCTTTAAGTACTGAGCAGAAAGGAAGGGCAAAGAAAAAGGACCATGAGAACTGATGCTCACATTTTTCCTCGTTGGTCACGAACATAGTGATTTAACTGATCTACCATAATCTGAATAAACCTTGTCGCCTGTTGCCTATATGTCAACTCCTTATCTGGCGTAAAGCCATGCTCCCGAATGCTTGCTGTATTCGCTGCCTGAAATTAGATAACAATAACAATACATCACTATGGACTGAACAATACCATAGATAACAAGTAACATAACAGTGTTGAAGTGGACCATTCCGGACGAGATAAATATCTCCAGAAGCACCCGTCACAAGATGGAGCCGTACCAAACGGCTCTTTCTGATGGTCTGAGGATCAAATCTGGGATCGCATACTAGACAAGTCAGATTCCTTCATTACCCAGAGACCGGCTAGCTAACATTAAAGGTATATCGGAGAACAAAAACACTGATTCGCACAGAGACTGATCACAGCAAGCCGTTTCACAGGCACTCGCGTTCCTTGAAGCCAACACTCTATCCGCAAACGGCGAATGAATGAGGCGAATGTGGTTTGGCGTGTTTGATTCCCGGACTGTCCCGCTGAGACAAACAAAGCCCTTTACCCTTCTGGGACGGTAAATGGGTACCAGATTTGTCTGAGTGGATAGTAGCAGTGACATGTGGCTTCCGCAAATGATTGTATAGGCCACATCGCATGCCACTACCGATTCTGGCTGGAAGTAGAACGCGTACCGCATCCCAAAAGGCGATTGATCAACAGCGCAGACTTTATCCCCTATATGCAAGTTGAATGCGTGATCCATTTCAAAAGTAATCGTTCATCGCCAGGCGATTTCTTTTGTTTACTCTAACGAACCACGGAAGTAGTAGAAAATCAAAAGGCCAAACACTACTTTCCCCCCCCCCCCCC